TCTCTGGAGGGATCACTAAACAAAATTTGTTGCACATTAGGATGAAATGATAGTTCTGATCTTTACTGGGATGGAATGCAATGGGTTTATGGCATTTCCTTGAGATTACTGTAGTTTATAAGAGAAAATGTGTAGAAATATCCACAGATTGATTCATCTCCTCACGGAAACAAGTGGTATACTGATGATATTTTTGAATTTTGATTTATGTAAAACCTGACTCTTCCCTAAAGACCTTTGGAGTTAGGTGCTTTGCAGAAAGTTCAAGATTCTTCTGTATTTTGCATGCCTCCTCTGAAAAGCTGGTGGGGTAAAAGCCCTGTGGTGGTCTCAGCAACTGCAGGATTTGGTGTCCCTACTCATGTGCTCCTTGGTCTCATGCTGTGGCACCATATTTTCCTTTTCAGCATTTCCCTGATAAGTTATCAAACTGACAAGAGCAGACTGCCAGCAAGTTTGCTTTCCTGGATGACCATAGCTGATTCTGAATGAGGAATAACAGAAGGCGGCTGTTTTAAACCACCACTGAGTTGGGCCAGCAGCACGTGTTCTTACATTTGCATCTGCCTCTTTTTCCCCATTCTCTTTCAGCTGATATTCCTTTGTCCCACTAGAGTGAGGATTAAATGAAGGGCAGGGGTCAGTTTAATAGACACAAAGTTTATTTAAAACAAATAGCTAGAAAATGTGTAGGACATTTTGAATGTAATGTTTTCTGTGTTCCTGATGTATTACTGTTACCTTGCAGAAAGAGGTGTGATTTGTCCAGGCAATCCCCATCTTCTATCAAAACCAGGTTAGGGTTCCACAATCAAATACTACATGAATGTAAAGTGTATACAGACAAATGCCTGCAAGTTCATAAAAATTTCACCCTCTTGTATATGTATACAAATCCATAGAAAAGGTGATATAATTCTGTCCAAATATGTTAATAATTATGCATATAAAACATTCAGAAACACAGACCAAGAGTATATTGGTGACTTGAACCTGTTATTTAAGAGTATATAGCCGCATTTAAAGAGTTGCTTGCCATGCTTGTCTTTCCTTGATTGATGCTAAGATAAGGTTTATACAGATAATTAACTACATAATAGCTAGTTTTAGTGTCACATTTTATTTTTCCAGCAGATGAGGATTTATTAGGTGATGGAAATTCTGTTAAAGGCAAGTGAGTCCAATTTGGCATTGCAAAATACAGCATGGGTGAAGCGCAGCCTTACAAGCACCATTTGTTAAATCATTCTGTAGCACTGTAGTATAGGGGAGGGTAAGTTCTGAAATTTGCAAGCATCCTGCTTTACATTTACATATTAATTTTGTTCCTCAAACATCTTCATAATTACTTCTGGGCAGGTTAGAGAGCTCCAGAATAATCATGTTGAAAGATTTTGTGTGTGCTTTTAGTGTTTTAGTTTCTTCATAACAAAAGACAGATCTGATACAGATGGAAGCAGGACCTGAATGCCCTGGGGTATCTGTGCAACACTTTCCTTTCTTTCTGCCAGTGATGAAACCGATGTGGAACAGACCTCTGAGGTTGGAGCTCTGCATTCTGGAAATGTTGCTCAGCTTAGTCCAGGCCAGTGTTGGGAACCCACTTGTTCACAGGATGGTAGTGTGCACACACTAAACACCTGTGTGGCTCTGGGATGCTGTGCAGACAAATGCAGCTGCTGCAGTAGATTTGCCTCATGAGTGATTGGATACTCGTTTTCATTAGCTCCAGATCAATATCAGCTATACTTAACCCTTCACCCTATTGGAACTACACCAGAACACACCTTTAGTGTTTGTATAAAACCACTGCTATTTGATTTTATCCACGACCTTTTCACTTAATCCAATAAAATAAGACTAGTGAATTCTACTGATGTAAAAGCCAATTTCTATGCAGAGCCTTAGTTGCAATCCTGTGAAGCTGGAGTTGCACCGTGCTTTATCCCAGGTTAAATGCAGCAGGTGTGACTGCTCTCCTTCCTGATGATGCTGTCCTGCACCTGTGGGCTTCAGAACGGTAGGGAAGTCGCTTCGTCATCTGTACTGTGGAAACATGTTGCCATCTGATGGTATCTCAGCCTCCCTCAGGGCTAAATGTCTCAGACTGCTTTATGTTGGTAGAAGAGCAGAGCATGAATGGGGCCTGGACAGAGGCTGGCATAATTTTATAATTCAGGATTAGTCCTTTGAGTCTTTGGACCTGACATGGCCTTAGTATCGTTCTACATAGGTGAATAAATTGACAAACAGGAAGGTTATTTATAAAAACATTCAGCCAGTCTCACATTGACTCTGGGAACAGCAGACTCTTGCCTCATTAGTAGGACTGGTCAATGAAGATTCCTCCTGAATTCCAAAGATAGTGTTGCTTATAGTTATTTAAAATTTGTAAGGAAGTAGCTTATTTATTTTTGTAAGACCTTGAAACTTAGATACTAATACTGTCTTATTCATTCCCCTTCAGCTGATGATTGGGTAGGAGTTGTTCACCAGACTCAAATTTACCAGAGAGTGGAGGGATCAGAAAGGGGGGTATAAAGGAGTGAACTGGAGCCATTTGGTACACATACACGTATATACAGGGTAATAACATATACATGGAAATCTAGGCGTTATTCATTCTGCTCTTCACAGAACAATTTGAGGGCATTTTCCTTGTTTTGAAGGCACAAAATTTGGCTTGCTAGGATAGCAACAAAAACATTCATTTAAAAACTTGCCAGAATGCAAACTATTTGTTTGGGTATTTTTATCTTGCATGTGAGCAGGCTGATGTGCTGCAATTCTTTATGCCAAAACCACATTCATTCTGAGCAGCTATTTACTGTGGACGTAAAAATTTTGACGTATGACTGAGGCTATTTACTGTCATCCAGATCTGCATTTTCCCAAAAGGTTCCAAGCTTATTTTTGTGTTTATTATGTAAAATCCAAGACAATTAGATTTCCACCTGGCTAAGTAAGACAAATGCAGTAGCTACCAAGACTGTGACCAATGGCAGTGTGTGCTGTGCCAGTCACCTGCAACTTTGCAGTGACAGCAAACTTACTGCTCTGCCCCTGCAGCTGACTTCTACCAGTATCAGGTCTGACATGTACAGGTGAAGAACCCTTTCTGTCCCAATCTAAACAGTAAACCCAAAGCCTGTTCATTGCAGAATACCCTATTTTAAACAATTTTATTTTTAAGTGGTCAAAGAAAAAAAAATCTGATTCTTTCCTAGCATGTGAAATTTGATCATTCAGGCTATAATTTTCAAAGGGCAGTACCTTTTATTTGTATTTGCTCTGTTGAAACTTCTGGAAACATGGCAAGTTCCTTTTACCAAAGTCCTCTGGACAAAAAGGTACTGTACTTTGACAGTACAGTAAGGTTGGTGGAGCAGTGTCATGTCATCCATTTGATTTTTCTTGTGGATGTTGCTTAGAAACAAAACAGTTAAGTAGCATTAAGTTTAGAGTCCATGGCAATGTTTTGTTCTTCCTTAGCAGTTATGCTGGCTAATCTGTCTCTCTTAAAACTATGTAATATTAGTACTGAGAGATTCAGTGAATGCACTAGGCTCTTTTTTACTGATCATCCTAAAACACGCTTATCAGTTGCAACATGGTCCTACTGACACTGAAGTTTAAACTTGTGCCATTACATAGTGTGTTTGTGGTGAGCTGTAGTTAGCAGAACTACAGGTAAGTCCTGCCTGAGCAGAAACTGACCAGAAGCAGTTTGACTTCATGTAAAAGAGACTTGATTTTCCCAGTGTAAATTCTGATGTCAAGTGTCACATCTGCCGATAGTCTCCATGCAGACTCCCTTTTGCTTCTGTTTTTTGCCTTTCAGTCCTAAAATGCCTTGTAAGTGTCCCTTTAAGACACAAGTTTGGAGGAAACACTATTGTTATTAGTGTTTTTACGATTACGTGACTTCAAGACTCCAATATGGTACCCTTCAACAGCACTATATTTACTTAAACTCTCCCACAGAAATTGCAAACCCATCAACATCTTTTATAAATTAATTTGCTGATGCAGGAAGGACTCAAGGCAAATTGTTGTGGCTGCAGCTTTAAATTCACTGCAGAAAGCATTATGTTAATATTCTGATTACGTACAGATAAGTTTTTGATTGAATAATTTTGAGTAACTAGAATATGTCAAGCACTGTATCAAGATTACTGAGGTTCAAAGCACAGCACTTTGCATTTTGTTAATATCATGTAATTCTTACTGGCATCTATGCAGTTGAAATGGCGTAATGCATTTCATAGAATCATAGAATGGTCTGGGTTAGAAGGGACCTTAAAAATCACTTAGTTCCACCTCCCCTGCCATCAGCAGGGACACCCCCCACTAGACCAGGTTGCTCAAAGCCTCATCCAACCTGGCCTTGAACACTTCCAGGGAGGGGGCATCCACAGCTTCTCTGGGCAACCTGTGCCAGTGTCTCACCACCCCCACAGTGAAGAATTTATTCCTGTTATCTAATCTAAACCTCCCTCTTCCAGTTTAAACCCATTTCCCCTTGTTCTTTCATGACCTGCCCTTGTAAAAAGTCCCTCCCCAGCCTTCCTGTAGCCCCTTCAGCTACTGGAAGGCCACTATAAGATCTCCCTGGAGCCTTCTCTTCTCCAGGCTGAACAGCCCCAACTCTCTCAGCCTGTCCTCATAGGAGAGGTGCTCCAGCCCTCGGATCATCCTCGTAGCCTCTTCTCTTTATGTCAGCATTTGTGTTAGGGAATTTAAAAGAGGCATTTCAGCAAGAAAACTTTTTTTTTAATGGAACTACACTTTTTGAGCTGTGCAAAGGTTCTGGCCTGCTGCATAGTAAACCATTTCTCTGATTACTGTGTTGATACTGTGAACATAAAAATCCTGGGAAAATGGTTTGATTGTATATATTTTAGAACTGTCATTGAAGTATCGCATTTATCTTAATATTACATTTCATGAGCTATAACTTGCCACAAAACAATTAAACATTTTAATTTTGCCTTAACAGGATGATGGTGCTTGGTTTTCTGAGCAGAACACTTCAGCTAGCAAGACATTCATCCAGTCCATTGGGGAAACAACTCTGTTCAGCCAGCACAAATAAGCCAGTGTTGACTTTATTCACGAAGGTAAAAGTTGTTTACAGAATAAAGCTCTGCAAGACTGCATATTTATGAACTTTGATATACATGAATCCCAGATGAAATGGTGTGGCCATGCTTTTTGTGCCCTTCTGATTTGTGTAGAATTGGGCATTTTATTTTGGGGTATCTTTTACATCAGGCTTTATAGCACAGTCCTACTCTCTTAGCAAGCAAATAGTTACAACCAACAAATGAAATAAAGACAGTTGTGTCTCAGTGACACTACAGTCCATTTCCTAGTTGAAAATGGTTCTCTAACTGCCCATGTTTCATCCTGGAAATGGAGAACAAAGGTGAGTTGTTAAAGATAATCTGCCCAGGACAAGCATCAACAGCCAAAGAAGGCTCTTCAAAGCATGCATGTTTAATTTCAGCAATACTTGTGAGACTGAAAATATATTCTCGTGGTGTTGGCAGCCCATGAGGAAAAAATAGATTGTGCTTTACCCTCTTTTTGCTTTATTGACTGTGTGACTCTAACAGGAGTAAAATGCAGGCAAAGATTTGTCTGTGTCATGAGCAGGTAGGATTCTTTGAAAACTGATGTGATAAGCAGAAATGGTCATTTGTGAACTGTCACCTTCCATGAATTGTCATTAAGAGCCTGTGTGATCTGCAGAGGTCTGTTGCACTTTGAGGTGGGATGGCACACGGCAGGCTGTGCCGCGTTTGTATGGTTGATGGAGCCTTCAAGGGGAGAATAACTAGAAATGCAAAGCACTGAGAATATTGACATCAGTGTGGCAGTATTTGTTGGAGATGGATGTGATTAAAATAATTTCCTCCTCCTGCACAATGTTTGTTCATTCCATCCCAAGCCGTAGAGGAATGTTTAAACTGTGTAACATATGAATATGCTAAAAAATAAAAGGCCACCATCTGTTTATTAATCAGAGCAATGCATGCTATAAGAAGAACTATAAAGTTACAGCTCTCTCTCCCCCTTCCCAATTCAGCATCAACTCATTCATAATCCACATGTGATAAGGTAGGAATAATGACCTTACCTTTGGGTTAATAATTGGAAAAAAACTTATGTTTTTTGTGTCTTAAAATTTCTAATTGGTAAGACACTGTATGAAATCTAATATTCTAATAGCAGGGTTCAAGCAATTCTCCGAAGTAGCCTCTTGTTGAATATGGTTTTAACTTAAGATGTTTCATGCTGATACCACTGGCAATTGCAAAGCAAAATGCAGTCTACTTTGAAATAAATCTAATTTGAACTCTTAGTTGATTAACTCCTTTTCCCCTCTAACCTATTTTTAAGAATAAGGAGAAGAGAGGAGGAGGAGGAAGGAGGGAGCTGTGACTTCTGCAGCCACTACAAACAGATTGAAGCTAGCACTGCCAAATGGTTTTGCCCTCTCAGGCTCCTTTCGTGCCAACACAAGCATTCATGCAGTGCTCCAGGTTAAACCCCCCCCCCCCTTTCTTTTTTTTGTGCAAGTTACTATTAACTCAGACCAATTCTCCTGTTTAGCTGTACTGTGCAGCTGCTTGAGTGCTTATGCCTGCACAAAAGAAGCAGTGACAGGAAGATGGATCTGTTTCCTTCAGCATCAGTGCCATCTTAAAATGGCTGCAAAACTGTAGTCGAAGCATGCAGCATAAATGGTACTTCTCTGTAGGAATAAAACTGTCCCTTTCACCACATGTACTGTCTAACAGATCTAGCTATCAGCACACTTTGGGAAGGGATTTTTAGTACCTCAGCAGTCGGAGTCCCTTTAGCCGCTGGTTTATACATCTGAGAGAGAAGGTTGTTCAAGACAGCTTTAACCAGGCAACCCTATTACAAATCAGCATAAAGCAAGTGATGACAGAGACCTATTCTTGTACTGTTCTAGAGAAAAGTGTGTACTAGTATAAAAGGACTGTTTAAACAGATTTCACTGTTAGTTGAAGTAGTTCACTATCTGATTTTAAACCACTTCCAATCTTTCTAGTGCTACATAGTGCTTAAGCTTGCCATCAGAGCAGGAGTAAAAACATTATTTGCTAAGGTAAGATTAGTTTGTCAAATGCTTTTATGTAACTGTTATGTTAGAAAGCTCTCCACAGGCCTAGGGGAATGCAGTATGTCCTACTTCAACTGTAAAGAGCCTGGCATGTTACAAAACTGATGTGCAGGTACTGGGATGTTCCTTTCAGTCACCAGTATTGGGTGTATCAGTCCATCCAAAAGTGACAAGAACTAGCAAGAACAGAGCACTGCTGATCTTTAGCATCTCACATAGGTTTTCAGAGCATAAGGGCTTGTCTGTGAGGGAAAGGCAATTTAGATTAGATGTGAATCAAAAGTAGAGTATTTAATCCAAAATAATTCACACACAGGAAATAAGAAGCAGCTTTTTTCAGATTAACTCCATGTTTAAACAAGGCCTAGAAAGGCTAGCAGGAGGCTGTGGTGGTTTCACTTGGCTAGCAGCCAAACACAGCTGCTCACTCGCTTCCTCCCACTCCCCTATGGGACAGGGGAGAGAATTGGAGGGGTAAGGGTAAGGAGACATGTAGGTTGAGGTAAGAGCAATTTAATACTTGAAATAAAATAAAATGTAAATAATAATGATATTAAAATAATAGTAATAAGATATGCAAATGAGTGATACACAATTGCTCACCACCCACTGACCAAGCCAAGCCTGGTCTCAGATCAAGATCTTAGAGGAGCGACAAAACCAAAACCACAATCCCAGAAGAGTGAGAGCCTGAGTGACAGCCAGAGAGAGAATGAGCCCCCATGTGAGAGGGAGCCTCACTGGAAACTAAAAGAGACTAAAAACCAGGAGAGAAGGAGAGGAGAAGGTCTTTTCCAGATGTGAAAGGTATGTCATGGCAGAGGGACAGCCATCACCTTCAGCACTGTATACTTTGCTGTGTGAATTATAGGCCAAATTCTGCCATTGTAAACACTGAAGCAGCAAGCCTTCATGTGAGTCCCTTCCTCAGGTATGCACTGCTCTGATGATCATCATGCATGATCAGCAGAAGTCAGCTGTGTAGCTGTAGTGGAAGACCAGGGAGTTTTCAAAAATCAGAGGTTTTCTTTGACCCATCACAGGTCAGAACACTGCAGCTGTTTGCCAGTTCTCGCTGGTGGAGGTTACCATCCTCCAGCTCTGCAGGCTGGAGGATCATGTTTAATTTCTTTCAGGCAAAGTCAGCCAGGTTATCTTAAAGTCTATTCTTTTGCTATTTGAATTGACCCAAGTGGCTCAACCTGAAACAGATTAGAAATTACTCATGTGACTTCCTCACTCCCCTTCTATCAAGGGAAATTCTTCTGTCAAGAGTGGTACCCTCAGTTGTTTTGAGCTGGTGATTACAGTACTTTGAATATTCATTGCTGCTGACCAAAAGAAGGGGTCTGTGTATGACCTTCCAAACCTTTGAATCAGCCTTTAGATGAGCTGTAGAAAACTGTTAATTTGTTCCATGAGAAAAATAATAGAAAATGAGAAAGAATTAAATTCTGTGGCTGAATAGTTTATTTTCTTTTCATCCATGCTGCACTGATAAAGATTTAGAAAGCAGTAAGACAGGGTGGTATGGGGGAGGGAACCCACATTTACAGTAATGATCAGTCCTGTCTCTGTATGTTACTTCACAGTACAAATAATCTGTATGTTTTACTGTATGCTTTAAGTTTGTCTGAATATTTTCCTTTAGAAACCATGCCCTCTATGCGATGAAGCAAAAGAAGTGCTTGAGCCATATAAGAGAAGGGTAATGTATTGCAATACTGTATACATTTTCTATACAGAAAGAACAGTTAATCATGATTCTTTCTTTGTAAAAGAAAATTGCTTGGATTTATTTGCATACATTATTCTTTCATGGGTGACCTCTTCCAAGATAATTTCAGCACTGATTTCCATAAAACTCATTATCCAAAAGCATTTTGCAACAGTGCTACTCAAGTTAAGTATTGGCAGACTAAACCAATATACACTTTGTCACAATAGTTTTTAAAACCACTGCTTTTGTAAATACTATTGCCTTGTCTGGTGGAGGAGTTTGCAACTTTTATGAGGCAAGTAAATATCTGTTTTGGGAAGGATGTTAGTAAGTAGAGCTTCCAATATTTGAACTATATCTAATTGGAGTTTTTGCCATTCTTCAGCCAGGTTTTGATCTCTTTCTTGCAGGATGGAACTGTTAACAGAAGCATTAAAGAGGTGTTGCACTCTGCTGTGTAACAGGCAGCTGTTGTGTTGCCAGCTGCATATTTGTTGTGGTTGGTGCTCACAGAAGAGTGGTTCTGCACAGGGGATCAAGAATATTGTCCTGGACTGGGGAGAGAGTACTTTGCAGACATAAAGCCAAGGATTATGGCTACATACATTTTGTACCTACAAAATGGGCAGTTGTGTACGACATGGAAGAATAAATCCAAAAGCACCAAGAAAACAGCCTTGCATTTCTGAAAAAAATACTGATCAAAAGACAAGCAGGTATTGTTTTTCAGTGTTCAGTAGGTGCTAACATACTTCTTTCCTGTCACAGTTTATTTTGCAGGAGGTGGATATTACCCTTCCAGAGAATTCGGTGTGGTATGATAAATACAAATATGACATACCTGTTTTTCATTTAAATGGGAAGTTCCTAATGAAGCATCAAGTAGATATCCAAAAGTTCGAGGACCAGCTTATGAAGCTGGAGTTAAAAAATGATGGAAACGAGTGAAGAAAATGCACGTGCTTTGGAGTGGATCTGAAAGGACTGTGTAACATAAATTGTGTGGAAAAAGCAGTATTCATTATCTGGCCTCATGTTTCTTAGAATGTATGGTACTAGTGTCTTAAAAACCTTGAGTGACTTGTATTCTGTTTTGTATTAATCATCCAGCCCAACTGCACCAGTATCAGCCTTTTCCGTAGCATTCATTTGCTGCTCTCCTAGGCTGGCTTCTCAGAATAAGTGCTGCCCCATAACAGCAGATAAAGTAAAATGTGTTTGTGTTGGATTTGTGTGCAAGGTTTCGCTAGTGAGGGGCTACTGTGGGGTGGCTTCTGTGAGAAGCTGCCAGAAGCTTCCCCTGTGTCCGACAGAGCCAATGCCAGCCAGCCCCAGGGTGGACCCACCACTGGCCAAAGCCAAGCCCATCAGTGACAGTGGAAGCACCTCTGTGATAAGGTATTTAAGAAGTGGGGGGGAAAACTGCTGCAAAACAGCAATTGCAGCTGGAGAGGAGTTGAGAAGATGTGAGAGGAACAACTCTGCAGACACCAAGGTCAGTGAAGAAGAGGGGGGGGGAGGTGCTTCAGGAGCCAGAGCAGAGGTTCCCTTGCAGCCCCTGGTGAAGATGGTGGTGGAACAGGTTCTCCCCCTGCAGCCTATAGAGGTCCATGGTGGAGTGGTTATCTACCTGCAGCCCATGGAGGACCCCACGCTGGAGCGGGTGGATGCCTGAAGGAGGCTGTGACCCTGTGCGGAGCCCGCGCTGGAGCAGGTTCCTGTCAGGACCTGTGGCCCCGTGGAGAGAGGAGCCCAGGCTTGAGCAGGTTTGCTGGCAGGACTTGTGACCCCCTGGGGGACCTGCACTGGAGCAGCCCGTCCCTGAAGGACTGCACCCCATGGAAAGGGCCCAGGCTGGAGCAGTTTGTGAAAAACTCCAGCCCATGGGAGGGACTCAGGGAGAAGTTCATGGAGGGCTGTCTGCCATGGGAGGGACCCCACACTGGAGCAGGGGAAGAGTGTGAGGAGTCTTCCATGTGAGGTGGAAGGAGTGTCAGAAATGTGTGATGAACTGACTCCAACCCCCATTTCCTGTCCCCCAGTGCTCCTGAGAGGGAGGAGGCAGAGAAAACTAGGAGTGAATTTAAGCTTGGGAAGAAGGGAGGGTTTGGGGAAAGGTGTTTTAAGATTTAGTTTTTATTTTCTCAATATCATACTCTGATTTGATTGGTAATGAATTAAATTAACTTCTCAAAGTTGAGTCTGTTTAGCCCATGCCAGTAACTGGTGAGTGATCTCTCCCTGTCCTTACCTCAACCCATGAGCCTTTCATTTTATTTCCTCTCCTCTTGTCCAGCTGAGGAAGCAGAATGATAGACCCAGCTTTGGTGGGCACCTGGCATCCAGCCAGGTTCAGCCTCCCATAGTGTTTCAAGATTGTTATGCAAGCTGTAGGTCTGTAAGAGACTTCCTTGAAGAAGTCTAGAAGTCTATCCTAAGTGCTCATTTGAACTGGAGGGCATTTACTGTAATTGAAAATTATTAAAGACAGCACACTCTCACTGAAGCAGAGTCATATCTATAGAACAATCATCACAGTGTGATGCAGCTGTTACTAATGCATGAACACTCGATAGTTTATTTTTCTTCTAATGGGATTAATATATGTTGCATTTAAGTATATTTTATCTACTACAGCAAGCTTTGAGCTCCTTAGTACTTGAGATACTCCTAGTCACAAGCAAAAATAAAGAGTGAACTATAATTGAGCCAAAAGAACTGCTTCTGTAATTAAATCAGCATTTATTAACTCCAAACCTATCTCTCTGAATATCAGAATATAAAATAAAAGTAAGAAACCCTAGAAGTGTCTTTAAAATTTCCTGGCCTAAGATATGAGATTTCTCCCTTAGACTCCAGTTATGTTCTTGAAAAAATCCATTGTAATATATGGTCCTTTGCCCTGCTTAGAGATGTTTGTGGTATAAATCTCCATCATTACAAATCCAGAGAACAGAGAAAACATCTGATATTATGGGAACAGTGCTTGGTCCTATGGACCAGAGTTCTGTGGTAATTGAGACTAGTTATTATGCTTTTTAACAGAAAGGATGTACATTTCAGTTCTGTCTACCACACAACTACAAATCCATTTATCACCTGCTAAGAAGACCATTTTATCAAGGGTTCTGTTAGTGCATCACTGGCAATGTAGGGATGTGAGGCAGACAGACAGACAGAATGCCTAAATTATATTTTCAGGAGGAAGAGAAAGATTAAGGAAAAGTCAACTGTTTTAAGTTGAATAGTCTGTAATAAGCATCGGAGAACGTTGTTGGTATTTTTTATCAACTTAAAAGATTAACACAGAAACTAATCCTTACCTGCTGCATTTCTGTTCTTTCTACCATGGTGGTGTTCAGTCTTCTCTCATCACTAAGAATTTAAACAGGGACACTTGACAGCTGTGTCTTCACAGGGGAAAGAATCCAGACACAATACCAGGTTAGAACATCAAACTGAAATTCACTAGGATTCATTACGAACTTCAGCTTTTGAAGTACGGTTCGATAAGCTGATCTGCTGTGGCGAAAGTGGGCAGTTCCCATATGGCCCCATTCTTAAGTGTCTTTAATATTTGACTGATCATTTGCAACCCAATTCTGATGTATTCTGCAAGATGAAAAATTTCTGGGCACTGGGGGGTGAGAATTGAAAACTTTCTTCCAGTTCAGCAACTTGAGTCCATTCAGGAAGCGATCTGGAAATATCCACAAGATCCCAGGAGGGAGCCCTGTGCCCTTTTTATAGCGGAAAGTTTTAGGTAAGTTCAGCCACATCATCTAACTATACCCTGTGATTTATAGATTTATAGTTCAGAAAGTTCCATTTCATAGCACTTCACCCTCCTCAGGAGGTCTGTAGGAAGTGGCATCAAACAGGATGGATTTACTAGATTTTCAAGAACTGAAGAGAAGCTTAGAAGTTTAAACATCTCCTTAAACCTGTTTAAGGCTTTTCATCAGCAATTCTTTAACTGTTTGATCCAAAACCGAAATTACAACTAACTGTTGCTTCTAAAGGAGAACACTCAACCTGACTTTAACGAGTTTGTTCTTTTCGTAGCCTTACTGTACCTTTAGAGCCTGCTGCTTTACCCTGATGTGGTCATTTACATTGTAGAGGAAGACTAAATTGAGCATATTGTTTTAAAAAAAAACCAAAAGAAACAACAAAAAACCAAAACCAAGCTGAAACTTCTCAGGAGTAAGTTGAGTGACGTGGCAAAGCATTCGGTGTGATGCTGTCCCCAACATGAGAAAAAAAAAATGGAAAAACTTGAAATGGCAAGATGCTTCTTGAATTGTATGTTTCAGCATTGCTTTGCCCTATCCACAGTGCTTTTCATCACCAATGACAGGAGACTGGGACCCCAGAGAGAAAAAATACTGTACGTTCTGCAGTTCATAATGCTACAGTCAAACTTCTAAGTGTACCACAAGTTACTGTTAAATAATAGGGCTGAAGTACCTCTGTATCAGTAAGCGTCATTTGCTTTTCTTCTATAACCTGGTATGGTTTCAGGGGGATTAGATTTTTCCTTACTGAGGTTTTGTAATAAAAGGACTGACACAGAGCACTTTCCAAACATAGTTCAAATGGTTTTCTAAAATGCCGCATTATTATTTCAAAGATATAGAGGACAGAGGCCATGTGGACGTGCCCCATTTCCCAGCATTCATCACTGACCGAGGCTGGAATAGCCATCAGAGCGCACTTTGCCTTTGTTTTATTTTTAATAAGGCCTGTTTGGGGAAGAAAGAGAGATAGGAAGAAAAAAAAAAAAAGGAAGCTAAAAGCAAAGCCCTGAATCATACAGGAGATGATTAATCCTTTGTTCCTTATTCAATCAGACTGTGGAGGTTTTCTTCCATAGCCAGTGCTGGTTTTTTCCCCCTCCTTTATTTTGAAAAGTGAAGGATAACAGAATTTTTGTAATAGCTTTTGTCTATGGCGTAGCCTTATCAGTGAGATGAGGGTTTTCCATTAGTTCTGGCTGTGGGTGCTAGTTGTATATAGTGCACAGAGAAGGGGTGGCTGCTTCTTCCAACTCTTCTGGTGCACAGTCAAACACAACTCTGCATTGTGTATGCCTCAATCCTATTTTCCTTGTCAACACAAGTAGCAGATTAAGGTATGCAACAAAGGTCATTGTAGACTGTGGTGGTTTAACTGCAGCCGGCAGCTAAGACCATGTGGGTGCTCACCCACTCCCCCCTCTCTGGTGAGATGGGGGACAGAAAACACAACGAAGGGCTTGTTTGTTGAAAAGAGGACAGGGGCAGCTCAGTCACCAATTATGGTCACGGGCAAAACAGACTCGACCTGGGGAAGAAAAATCAATTTGATTCATTATCAGTCAATCAGAGTAGGATAGTGAGACATAACAACCACATCTTAAACCACCTTCCCCCCACCCCTCCCTTCTTCCCGGGCTCAAATCACTTTGCTCCAGATTTCTCTACCTCCTTCCCCCAGAGGCACAGGGGGACAGGGAGTGGGGGTTGCAGTCAGTTCATCTTTGCCGCTCCTTTCTGGCATCGGGTCCCTCCCACAGGCTCAAGAGTCCAGGAACAAAGTGTTCCAATGCAGGCTTCCCATGGAGTCACGGACCTCTCTGGGCACAGCCCCTGGCTCTGGCATGTGGATTTCCATGGGCTGGAGATGGGTCTCCAGCAGACCTTCTCCCCTGCTCTGGTGTGAGCATCTCTGGTGTCTTCTGCTCTGTCATGAACTCTCCACAGTCACAGCTGCCTTTGGGCACAGCCTCCCGGTCCAGTGTGGAGTCCTCCATGGGCTATACATGGTTATCCGCTCTGCCAATGAATCTCCATGGGCTGCAGGGGAAACTCCGTGCACCTGTCCTCCATCTCTTCTCCTTGCTGACATGGATGTCTGTGGTTGTCTCTTTCACTTGCCCCCTTCTCTCTCCTCCAGTTGTTGATGGT